AATAATTATAATTGAAGTTAATATCTTGGTTCTTTTATTAATTATTGAGGTAAACTTTTTTTTCTAAGTTGTTGTAAATATTTTATTATTAAATTATTTATATTTTAATATTAGTAATAAAAAATTTATTTGGGTGGTTGATAAATGTATTAATTAATTTTTATAAAACCTTAAGCTTAAGATTTATAATCTATTATTCAATAGTTTTTTTATATTTAATAGTAAATTATTTAAATTCAATAATGAAATTATTGAATAAAGTTTTTTTTATTCTATATTTATTATAATTTATAAAACCTTTATGGGAAAGGTTAAAAGTTTAATATTGTTTATTCAATTTATTTTAAATACTTATAATAATGTATTATCTAGGAGGTTAAAGATTGAAATCATATGGATTATCAATAATTGTATTGAAATATATTTGATTATTTGTATAAACAGAATTAAAAAGTAGGTTGGTAAGGAATGTGATTTTCTGAAATTCCGATTTGTTTTTGTAATTTGTAGTTAAGTAATAATTAATAGTATTGTGAAATATAATATATTAATTTTAATACTTTACAATATTTTGTTTATTATTATTAAATTTCTCGGAAACAGTAAGATACTTGTAGTAATATAAAGTCTATAAATTATTTCAAATAACGATTTTCAATATATTAATTATATTATTTAATTTATTAACTTTAGTTTAGGCATTAATGATTTGAATTTGGAATATATTTGTATATAACTCAATCAATTCGAATATAATCTGGGCGATTACAAAATATATAGTATTTAAATTATTAAATAAATCTGTAAATAAGGAGATATTAATTTCAACAAAATTAAGGATATGGTTTAAGAATAGAAACTAAGGGAATAAACTAAATGCAGGTATCTAATCAGTTATGGTTGTAATTAAGATTCAAAACAATAACAATTAGGGTAAACAGTAGAACAGTGATAAATTTGATTAACTCAATTAGATTAGAATTTTGATAGATTTGGAATAGAAATAAAATTAAAATAGTTTTTAAAAAGATAATATAAACTATTAAGGTATAGGTAAAAACTTATATTATATTATAAAGATGAAAAAGCTATGGAAGGGTAAGGCTCTCTTATAGGAAGTAGGGTACGCTAATGGTGTATGCCTGAGGCATGAAGGCAACGTAGTTGGCGCCGTGACAATAGGGGTATAAATCTAAAGATCTAAAAGATACTCTAAAACTTAAAAAAAGAAAAAGAATTTATTCAAAGTGTTTAAATCTTATTAGAAAAAAGAGGAATAGTACATTTTTATAATTACCTTTTGTTATTATTAAAGTTAAAGTATATCAAGAAAATAAAACACTTAAAAAAAAGTAAAAAAAAAAAAGCTAAGCTTCAAATAAAAGCTAAAAAAAAAGCTGAAAAGGAATAGAAATAAATTAAAACAAAAGAGAGAGTATTGTAAAAAAAGATTAATCATTAGATTGTATATAATATAAAAAAGAAAATTAAAAAGATTCTAAAATCAACAAAATCTTTAATCAAAAAAATTAAAAAGCTTTTAAAAGCTTTTTCTACTATAAATTTAATATCCTTAAAGACTATAAAGCTTTTTGATATTGTAAAGATTAATAATTTAAAAAGAAAGGAGAAAAAGATTATATTACAATCTAATAGAAAGCGAACAATACAAGTTTCAACAAAATTTAAAATCTAAAGATTTTATTATATTTTTAGATAGTATTATATCTTATCATTTATCAATTAAATTGCTAGCTCTTTATCTTATAAATTGAAATTATTATTAATTTTTAAAATGATTCAAAATAGGTGATCGAGATCATGCACATAGCAGGGACGTGCACGTAGTAGGGATATCGGTTAGCAAACATGGACTGACCTCTCTGAATACAAACCACTTGAGACCCCTTCCTCTCATTTAATCAACAGTCCATTGTTCAAGGTTCTCCAAGGAAAACTTCACCAATATGTTGTGAGCAGAGTTCAATCCACACTTCATGTGTTCAGACGATTTTTTTTCCCTGTTTAACCATGGTACGCATGTTAAGATTCAGTTCACTATGCCCGTTTCCACTGGTTCATCAAGCTTAATCAACCACTACGTCCAGTGAAAATAATTAAAGAAAGCTTGATTATTCCTCATCCGTGCTACGCTTCTATAAACTTCTCTCAGACCCTAGCTACAATGTTATCATACAAAAAAGGTCTCCTTGAATTCAGACAGCAGGAACAATCTCCTCGACGATTGTGTCTTCTCTGATATCCAAATTCACCAACATGTAGTCATAATCCTCCTCATCCTCATCTTCACCTTCGTCGCCGTGGAACTCTCTCATTTGGTTAGGGGTTCCAAACTGAGCTTGCTCATCCCACATTGTCGCATTTCGTGGCAAGACAACAAAAGCCCGCTGTCCTATCACAGCACCGCCGGGGATATCCAGCTCTAAACCTGAGCTTGTACGATATACAGGCGCGCCAGGAAGTCTCTTGCCGAGGCCATTGCGTCTTTTGATCTTCATCTTCTTCTTCTGACCTGCGTCTGGATCGTCGTCTGTTCTATCTTCAGCCGAGTCGCCATCACTCGTTGTACCACCAGGACCAATGATCTCGTTATCGTCATCAGCGTCACATTCTTCTGAGTTACAATACCCAATATCCCCCGAATTAGAAAATTTGGCCGTGAATGTACACTTTCCACCATTGTTACCCGTGCAGTAACTGCTCTTGTAAAAAGCGCTAATGATTCCTTCCTGCTTACGGTTCTGAGCGGCCGGCACACAACGGTTGAGGCGTGTTGTAGCACCATTGCTAGGAATTGACGACGCGAATGGATATTCATCACATTGAAACCCGGAAGCGTGGCCCTTTTTGACTGAACAGCGGTTACCACCTGAAGCGATGCAACCAGCAGCTTTACGGCGGTTACGCCTTGTGGACAAGTCAGGTTTGTCGTATTGCAAACTTTCTCCTATTCCGGCGCAGAAAGCTCCTGTGACCAACAGTGTCAACTAGGGAATTTATGGAAAAGGAGGGTTTGAAGAAGAAGAAAAAGAAGCATAGTTACCATAACACATGTTGGTGCAAATCTCGTCCAAGCCGTCATTGCACACAAAGATCATAAGATCATCGGGGTCCGCGCGAACCTCGAGATTTGGGTCAGGGGTGCCAATGGCAGATGTTGCCACAGCAAGGGCGAGGAATGAAGCAATTAGGCTGATATTCTTCATGGTGATGGATAGATTCCGAAGAAAGAGAAGTGCGGATAACAAGGTATTGAGTTTGTTGTATCTGGGTATTACCGTATTTGTTGGGTGAAGTTGTAGGATAATGTTTTCGGACTGGACTCATCAACACAAGCGACGGCAGCACATCTTTATACGTTTGCTGTGCCAGTATCTGAGTCTTGCTTGAGCCCAACTTCTATATCAAAACCTGGGCAATCGTCGCTACATTCATCGCCTCCACATCATCTGTCATACTTCTGTGCCTTGCTGTCATAAGATGATTCAATCCTTCGTACTCAGACCAAAAAAACTGCAGCTTCAAGATATCTCAAGTGGTACGAATGATCACCGGGCTCTTAACGCGACTTACGCGAGTGTGAGGTTTTAGTTAAAATGGAGCTGTGGTGAGTTTGGCACAATTTTCTTGGCAAATTGTTGACCAGATCGAGTAGGATTTTGGGTGAGTAGCACCAAGTGTTATTGAATAGCAGACAAGTTTATCTGCCGACAAAGCGGTCGGTCCATGCTATGATTACCACGGATGCCGGTGTCAATGTCTCTGCTACTGTTGAACTTCCCTGTGCCCGGACTACCCGGATGCAGTCACAGGAGGTGATGGTTGAGGTATACATGTATTACTATCACCTTCAATACCGAAAGAAGCTGAGGGTTAACGCACTTGACAAAACATAGGTTGTATTCTTACAATAGTTGTCCTTTCTCGGCTTGTGGAACAGTTATGAAAGAGGGACACGCCAAGTTAGATAGGCTCGCATGCTCGAGATGTTTGGTACAGACCGAAATCGACAAATTCTACAGAATAAGAACTGGAAATATCGTGCAACCTTCGTACAGACTCAATCTGTCCCATGAATTATGACCTCATGATTACCATCGTCTTTAGCCCCCGCCTCTTAGGATTTGCAAGGCTGTGGCACACTTTTGAGTAGAAACAATATGTTGGCTCGGAATATTCCAAGTAATCTGTAGTGCATAAGATCTGAGGTACTTCAGCCATGCTATAATGCTGGAACTATCGAAGATCTTTACCGTTGATGTGAGATAGTCATCTAATGTTTCTATAAACGGTGCGCAAGTAATTGAGATCGCATTCACTTGCAGAGCCCCAAAGATCGCCATCAGTATTATGCACTATATATATCTGATGCTGAAAGGCATATTATATTTCACGACGATCCAAAAAATATCATAAGTCGTCACGTAAGTGACTGCTGAAGGTATGAATCCTAATACCTTACGGTGAAGCGAAATAAGTAGTAAATGACGACATTATTTCGCATCTTGATAACTCATATCATACAAATTTGCCGCAATGTGTTTTAGAAACAGCGTATATTGCCGCCAATCGCTATCGTCTTATTAATTGGGACTCGTTTGAAGAACCGTTGACATTAGGTTGTAAGATATGCCTAAGGTTATCGTGCCGCAGGATTCGAAATATTACGCTGACTGGTTCAATTGACGTCAGTGATTACACAATTAAAGCGATCGCTTATGTAATTGTGATATTTACCTGTTTAGGTAGGTAGGGCAACTACATACTCTGACACATTTGTTATGAAGGTCCTAGGTAATTGCAGTGCATCGAAGATAAACAAAACTTTAAGCAGTTTTCACTTTACACCATTGCCTCCTTGCCTTTTTCCAAGCCATCAAGCCAATTCTACCCGTTTATTTAACGATTTCCTGTAGCAAATACTATTTCAAACCTCAAACAATCACCGTTGCTACTATTCAATCAAAACTCAAATCGCCATGTCCAATGAGCCAGATCTTTCGCTACCATCAACGGCGCCATCAATGGCACGTTATCGTGGGCACACACTTAACTTACCTCCAACGGCCTTGTACACTCTTGTCGATTTGACCGATGCAGAACTTGAAGAGTGTCAACGCGAGTGCGAAAGTAAGTGCGTCGAATGTGAGAGGGATCGGGGCACTTCCGTTCGTCTCGCTCCACAATCGCGATTTGTCGGCCAACCTTTGCGTGCTGCATTTGATTATCACATCGATTTGGCATCACAAAATATCTTTGAGCCCTTTTACTTTATCGCCGTTGTCAAAAAAGACTGGAGAAGCAAAGGTGTCATACTAGTCACACTGAACAAGATGGATGCCGAGGACTCTAATTGTAATGTTGATTCCTTTCGTACCAGAGCTGCTGATTCCGGCTTGAATATCGCAAACTTACAAATTGCGAATATGGGTTGGGACGAATTGAAAGATTTCACTGGGCTACATTCCAACGAAGGAGATGATGAAGACGATAAAACTGACAAAAATAAGAACGACAATGATGTTAATAAAGATGATGGTCCACCAGCACCAATCAAAAATATCCCTCTAGGTTACTACATTCCCATCTATATCCACTTAAGTTTACTCGAAGAAGATGTTGTTGCCAAGTTGGAGCCAGGGCTCAAACATAAGTCGCCAGAGGACTTGGCCTGCCGCGTTCAAGCCAAACTCACGCCTTCATTTTCTACCTCCAGCCCAACGTCTACTCGGGACCTCATCCAACAGGCCGCTATACTTCATCCCCAGCGCTGTTCGAAGAACAAATGGCTGCACAAAACTCACATCCTAGTCATCGACACGGCAAACCCTGATGAAAACGGTATGCTGATGGCTAAATTGCCATCGTGGGATGGAAGTCACTCGGAAACAACAGGAAACAGACAATTGCGCGGCATCGGGAAAGGAACATTTACTACCCCTCCGCACATCCGAATTCCGTATTCTTGCAACGATGGTCTTCAGACACGTTTCCTAATTTTGGCTAATGGTGATGCTGACTGGCCATCGGAAAGTGTGCGCGAGCAACCAGTCTTCATCGCCTTCCAGTACAACACACATGGAAAAGAGCTTGGCTTTTGTGCTGACTCGATTGATTCTGAGGCCGCTAAACGGAGCCCTGGAGAGGAGAGATTGGTTTATGCGCCGCAAGGGATCAAGCGGCCAGGTCATGGTCTGGAGCAGATTAAATGGAGTTATGATGAGGCTGTGAAACGATTCCCTTGGTTCTGTCGTGAAAAGCGTTTCATTGAGGGTCTTGATAAGGAGTTTTTCATCTGTGTAGATGGTGATGATATGACTAAGACCGGGTTGTTGCTTGTCCGTAGAAAATGGGATGGGAACTTGTGGGACCGAACTCGAGATGAACTACTCGATCTGCCTATCGATGATGTCAGGACTGTGAGAGTTCCAGTCGAAGAGGCACTTGCCATACTGGAGAAAGGGAGGAAGGGTGAAACAAATGGGATGAGTGATGGCTTGAAGGATTTCTTCTTGTAAACGCCCCCAATTGAGCGCCGTTACTCTTGGTATGATACCAAATAAGTCACTTGATAAGTAAATTGGAATCAAGTAATACAAACGCTCGTTCGTTGTGCTAGTGATTGCCACCCAGTTTGCTTTTCACTTGGACCTTCAACGTGTACTAGACAATTGTCCTCGGTACAATTTGGATATGCGGGGTTGGTAGCATATCCAACGATTTTGCGTCTCAATATGTTACAACCGTTCTCTTGGAAACAATTTGATTAATCATTCTCATGTTAATACGTTTGGTATCTTGATACAGATTTAATCATAGAGGATTAAAGAAGTTCAGGCCTCGGCTCTTGCCATTGCAACCCCACACCCAAGGAGTGAGCCTCAAGCGGCGAAATTCTGACAATATCCCAACATCATGCCGTATATGTGTTCTTTTCTTACTCCGAACACTTTTCATTACACCATTGAGCCCCACCAATCATGCTCTTTCTCTCTTCAACCTATTGCGTTTACACCATCTTCCACCCCAACCCGCAAAGGCCATGTCCATTTTGCAGGATCGATCTGTCAGTCTGATTCTATTGTCTTTCAAACCGAAATGATGTAAAAATATCGATGTGCTCTGCTAATATTAGGCGAGATTAAATTAGAATGTGGGCATGGAATCCGCAGATAGTGATTGGCGTGCCGCAGAAAGGGTCTCCCATTGATCCATCTGCGTTGTGTGGAGGACGGAATCCTGCTTTTATGTGCTCCTCTTGCATTTCCACCTTTGATTCTCAATTTAGGTTCAACACCTTTGTTGTGTCTTCAGTGATTAAAGGTATTCAAACCAGCGTTTGGCATCTCGTTGGAGTGTCTTTCGATTGATTTGGGACCCGTCTGACATTTTATCCATGTCCGATACCCAGACATCAATCCTAGATCACATTGTGTGTATGATTGAGTACAGGAATGTACTCATACTCAGCTTTTATACTTTTGATTGTGTAAAGATTTCGAAACCGCTTCAAATAGGCGAAGACGGGATGACTACCTTCGAATTCCTGTTGTACTGACTGTCCCTCATACACGACGCGACATGTGAAGGTGAAAGTGTTGATGGCGAAGGAATTGTGTGCGAGAGACATGTTGGAGAGAAAACTAATGGCGCGAGACGTAGAGATGGTCCCCGAGAGGTATACGACAATTCCATCATTTCGTCATCACTCCCCTTTGATTCCAAATCATGACTCCCCTCTGAACTCGAATCAAGACCTGGAGACTCCTCGTAAATTTCCATTGATTTACTTGTACTTCTACCGAGCTCAATGCGGTCATCCAAATGAATTTGTATAGTCTCCAGGCTTTCTTCTGAAGTCTGCCCAGGTCTTGGCTCGCTGTAGCATGCCGTGTTAGTTCCCATCTCGACATCATCTGACGGTTCTACCTTCCTCGCCAGATTTGTGGGGATTCTCAATGATGGTAGTGATGGAATTGCAGCGTTTCGGAAATGATTGGGGAAGATTCTTCGAAGTAGTGGTCGGAGAGTAGCGAGAGACGCGGCGAATATAGCCATTCCAGGTTCAACGGTCGACCAAACGGCTAGGGGGATGCTTTTGAAAAGGAAATCCTCACGATCCAATATAGTTGAAACAGTGGGAATACGAATGATGGTTGCTGTGCTAGCACTGTACGACATATGGCGTTAGCTCTTTTTTCACAAGGTACGATTGTAGGAAGGAGAGAAGGCAAGATAGAGAAGGATTAACGCACATAACACCACACGCGACAATTCCCCCGACGATAAGTTTTATACCAGTTGGCATCTGCACATTCCACAACATGACAATTGGCAGTAAAGCCAAGGCCCAATCACTTCCAGCACTTATAATACTATGCAAATACGTTCCACCCAAAACGATTCCTCTAGGCAAACAATTTCCCGTACTTCTATCAAGAGTCGTGGCGTATCGTTCCCAAATGTAAGGTATAGGCCAGCATTGTATAACCACGCACCAGAAATACACAAAGCCGAAGAGTATCACAATCCACATAATGACTTTTACAGCGACTCGATGCCAGGGGATAACCATAATTCGGAGGTAGAAAAGAGCGATGGCAGTTTTTATTATAGTCATCGCCACGACATAAGCCCATTCGCTGAAATACCAGTACTTTGGAAAAAGTTAGTCAGATTGCGACTTGAATAACGGTTCATGTTCCAGATGGGGAAGGAACTTACTCTAATTGCCCATAGGAAATCACTTTCCTCCAGATCCACTTGATGTCGTCCGGTTCCATAGTGTAATCCTGTTAAAACGAAACTCGTGTACATGGTATAAACGGCCTATTATTCCATATTCAATTAGCTATCAATTCTTCGATTCAATTGAAACAACGGTATGTCTACAAACCAAACTGAGTATCATCAACCAATCATCCCATCCCATAACCTTCTGCATAAAGTACCTGACATAAGTTCTTAATGACACCCCGATAAATGCCAAAGGGTAACAAACACACACAGCTACATATAGCTGCCATGCATGACTTTCCGCCATTTCGAATCAGATTCTGATGATCTGATATCTTACATATTATTATCGATAGCGAATGTAAGATCTTCATATGCACCCCAACATTAAAGCAAAGCGCCAGGGAACACGCGATGCACAGAGAAAGATTTATGGACATCCGGGCTTTAAGACATTTCTTTTCAATCCTATTCTTGGAAGGGGCATTTCATCATTGGACTGGAAAATTCCCGTTACATTTCCGTTACACGATCCCGGAATTCCAAATGTATTGCCAGCCATCAAGAAATCAAGGAGAGGTTCGTGCGTGTGTGTATCTGTTAGTTGTTAGTACGGAGTACTAATCGATGAACCCGTTCGCAGATCATCGACCCATCGCCCCCCTGCATAGATTCAAAGCACGGATGATACCCACAAAGTAGAGTTTTCCCCGTGTAAACCACGATATTCTTGAAGAGGGGGAAAATTCCCGATGGGCGTGGTTTCTCGAAAGATGATGATATCGATACCAGTGTGTTGCCTCGGTTGCTTACCAAGGTGGACGTTGTGAACATTCAGATTGTAGAGGTGGAAGAGGTGGAAGAGGTGGAAGAGGTGTAGAATTATTAATACCGAGTTGAGGCTATACACTGATCGGCAAGTCCCGCCTTCCATATTTACCTACCTATGCCTAGAAACGCTGAAGTCCGAGTGTCAATTTAGCATCTCCGGGGCAGAGAAAGGGTTTCGTTGTATGTAGGTTTTATCATTCCAATCTCAACCTTATTTGCTTGAGAATACGAGTGTTAGTAAGCTCGTTATGGCATTACTGTGGTGCAGACTGAAAGGGTCAAAAGTTGACGAAGCTATCATTGGCTAAGATTAATTTCTTGGCGAGGGTTAATATTTTGCCGACGTAAATCTCCTTATCTGGAAATAACACATGATTAGGTAAGATTACAACTCTGGATTTTTGGAAGCTTCCTTTAAACAGTTCTTATAAATCGGGTACCCTACTTTCAAGCCACCCACTTTTTATATTCAAAATACACTAAAAATGGAATTTATAACTTTCTTATTTATGGATAGAATTGAATGAAAATTTGTATATATGTAATTTAAATCGATTTAAGCTTAGTCTGAAATTTTTAGATTTTTAGGATTTTTTTATATTGAGATTTAGAATTTCAAAATATCGATTTTCAAATTTGTATAGAAATCATATATAAATTTAAACTTTTTATAAAATCTTTAATAACTTTCTAATAAAAACTGTTAAAAATAAATTATAAAATTTTATTATAAATTTATAATATATTCAATATAAGAGATTCAAAAAAAATAAATTTTTTTTTATAAATAAATATTTATAAGAATATTCTTAAAATGATAAGGATTATTTATATTATTCTAAACTTATTGTATATTATATCTCTATATCTGTTAATTTTTTTGATTTTTTTTTTGAATTTCTATATAGATTCAAGCTTAAATATCTCAAAAATATATATAGTTTTCTTTTAATTAATATTGTTAAAAAGTTATAAAAGATTTAATAATAAACTTAAATTTGTATATGATTTTTATACAAATTTAAAAATCGATGTTTTTGTCACGGCGCCAAGTACTCTACTACTCGGCCACGTAACCCCAAAAGGGTATAAGTAGTTTGATTAATATCAAACCTACTAAGTAGAGTTATAACCAATCCGTAACACTACTTCTTCCTTCAATCCCGAAATGGGCATAGCGGGATCTCGTTCCCTATCCCGGAATAGGATTACTAAAGATTCTAGTAGTAGAAAACTGATTACGTATCTAAAAGTAAGTAGAACCACTTTTCCCTAACTAATCGGATTCAATTACGAAAAAAGCCTTCAGGTAGAATCAAACTAACTATTACGGTGCCAAATACTCTACCACTCGACCACATAACCCCAAAAGGGTATAAGTAGTTTGATCAATATCAAACCTACTAAGTAGAGTTATAACCAATCCGTAACAATTTTGAAGCTTTAATTCTCAATACAGAAAAATTCTAAAAATCTAAAAATTTCAGAATAAGCTTAAATCGATCTAAATTATATATATACAAATTTTTATTGAATTATATTGAATATTAATAGAAATATTAATAGATTTAAAAAATGATTTTTGATATAAAAGGGTAGTGTTAGAATCAATACAAGGTGACAACTAGAATAGATATAGGATTAGAATAAGACTTTTCATTAATCCCTTCGAATCTCTTTCCTGAAGCTATATATATGTAAAAACTCTTCGCTTGCTTTTGGATTACTAGTTGGCCTAATATCAATTCCATATCGTATCAATGCTTATAATAAAACCCTTCTTCTTAGGCTTTCGTTCTCGAAAGTTATTTGACAGTTAATTATTGTTAAATCGATCTTTTTTTGTAACCTTATTAATTTCTACAGTAATAAGTTGATATTGCAGTACCTACATCCTTATTTTATGAGGTTCAGTTTCTCTATAGCTTTAAAAGAGTTATGTTGTAGTATAAGAGTGTCAAGAACTAATCCAATCTATATAATCCGAAGTTTGAAACCTTGAAAACCTTGAAAACCTTGAAAAATTCGAAAATTCGAAAAAGAAATCGATTTACTTTCGATAGGGTAGTGATTCGTATTCAATAATGGAATAATGATTTGTATTCGATAGAGTTTTACTTTTCCCTTTTTCAGCTTTCATTCTCGAAAATATAATATATAAAATTAAAATTTGATAACAATTCGCTGATAAATAACACTCCAAATCCTAAAAAATAATAGAACTTTAGAAACTAGCTAAACTAATACCCTCAAAATCTGAAAATCCTGAAACTCTTGAAAAATCCCCAAAATCAATAAAGCTTTATTAACTTCTCACTAGTTCCTCGAAAATATAAAGAAAATCTAAAAATTCAAAAAATAATAGAATTTTATAAACTAACCAGGCTAATACCTTCAAAATCTGAAAATCCTGAAATTCTTGAAAAATCTCAAAATCAATAAAGTTTCATTAACTTCCCACTAATTCCTCAAACTCTAAAAGAAATCCCGAAAATAATAAAAATCCGGAATATCCAGAAAAGACCTAATATCCCGAAAATCCTGGAAAAGCCTGAAAATCCCGAAATCCTGAAAAAGATCTGAAAATCCAAAAAAATCCAAAAAAAACCTGAAAATCCTGAAAACAATAAAACTTTATAAACTTCTCACTGATTTCTTAGAATCTAAATTTTTTTTAAATTTATTAGCTTTATTAGCTTTATTAATGTCACGGAATTCACCGTATAGTGTAACCTTACAAGTACTAATCCTGGTACTCCTTCGGAGTACTCACTCTCATAATTATTAATACTATTTCATTCATTTCACTTATATACCCTATATACCTAATTAAACAAGTATTTCACTCGATTAGAATATATAAAGCAAATATGATTATTAGGATTATATCTTAAATCAATCTAATTTATTATCATTCTATATATCTATTCTCAGATCAAAATGATTATTAGATATAACTATTATCTCCATAATAGTTATAAGCTTGATTAGTATTTATATTATACTCTTATTATATATATACATCTTTTAATTACTTTGATTTATATACAATCTCTTCTATACCTCTTTATAACCTCATTATATCAAAATCCAATTCCTTAAAAATTATTCAACTCGTTACCCATAAATACTAATCAAAATGGTTTTTAAATTTATAACACTTTTACATATTGAAAGATATCTAAAAGGATATTAAACCATCTGATTTTGTGGCAGGTAGCATGGTGGCTAGGCAGGTGGCATGGTGGCTAGGCTCTAATAACATAGCTTACATAATAAGTGTAGTTAAATAGCATAGCTCTTAGCTTAATAATAATCAGCTTTTATAATTCAATCCATTCATTACCTATCAAATAATAGCAAATCCCTATTAGGCATTATTTGGTTATATATTTTGTTTTTATTTAAATAAAAATAAAAAAGAAATATTTATACTAATAACCAGTTATCATAAATATTACAGAAAACCTTCAGCATTATATTTATAGATCACAAACTTGTCTTGTAGGTCCAACAACTACTTACTTTTATATATATAGAATATCAATTCTGTAAGGTTTTTTCTACAAAATTATAGAAAATTATTGAAGATATTTATAGAAATAATACTTACATATCAAAAACAAAACCAATCTTAGATTCGTTAAATACAAATATACAATATTACTGTATTCGATCCATAAATATAATTATAGAATTCTTTTTTTTAGAATAAATTATTGATAAATTAATATTAAAACAAATCATTATTATTTTCGAAAAGAAAATAATTGATTATATTTTTTTTATCTTTTTTAGTATTATAAAATCAAATTTGAGCTTTAATAGTAAGAGTATAAAAAAAATAAATAAAATATTATAAAAAGGAAAAAAAAGAAACAAAATCCATTTTTTCAATATTTATTTGGATAATTGAGTTTCGGAATTCTTTAAAGAATTTTTATAATATCTATTCTTTTCCTGTATCTCTTTTATTATTATTATATCTTTTATCAAATTAAATAGTCTATTAGATTAAGATTAAGATAAAGAAATAGATAATATAATTCTTTATTTTCAAATCTTATATTAACCTCTATTATTGAAGTAATATTTATATAAATAACTATATTGACAAGGGATTCATTAGTAAACAAACTATTCTTTTTCTAGTTTTTTATTAATACTGTAAAATATAAAAATTATATTAGAAACAAATAGTATACATTCTATAAATAATAGTTAAAATCAAGGTATAGGGGATAATACTACTTTCGATATAGTTGTAGTATTATTATTATATAACAAACATAGAATATTAAATTTAAAAGAATTATTTTAAAAAAAAAATAATACTAATAATCCACTACAAAATAGAGCACCCCCTTGTTTTAAAATAGTATCCTTTATTTAAATATAATTAGAATAAATTTCTATAGCTATAATATAATAAATATAACTACACACATTTCCCGGGTTATTATTAAACCCTAAAAACTTATTGCAATTACTTTTTCAATTCTTATTAAAAACCAAAGAGATTAGTTATTTCGATCTTTCAGAATTAAATCTATAGAATATCGAAATAATAATTATAGGGAAATCGATAATATATATAAATGTTTATACCTTCTCTTCTCAATTGAAGCATTTTGCCTTAATAAATAGTAATACAGTAATTATTAAAGTTTTCTCTAATTGCTTACAAGATATAATATATATCTGATATATTATAAAACTCACAGATATAAAACATATACTTATTACAATTATTATAATATCAATACTATATAAAATCCTAGAAAAATAATTCAGGATATACCCTAAAATAATAATACAAAACCTTCTTAAAGACAAATATAAAATAAAAGATTTTCAAAATAATCATATTATACGAAATTTCGCTAATATAATATTACAAAATGTAAAAACAGCTAATATAATCTCTAGATATAATTAGTTTATAGTTATCTAAAACAGCTTCATTCTGGACTTCCAATTTCATATCAAATATCCTCAATCAAAAACACAACTATTAGAATTCTTTAAATAAATCAACAATCTAGAATC